GTCATTGCAAATGATCTGTGTTCTCAGCCAACAATACAGCATCACATGGTCTAGGCCTACCACATCTAGCTGCTAAAATCCAGATGACCACTGGATGACAGCAAAGACAGAAAACTCTAGATCCTTCCTGTCATCTAATGAACATCTGATCTGCCCTCATTCTTGTTTCTAACCAATCCCATCGTTGCCTATGGAGAAAAGCACATAAGTAGACAACCACAATTTCTACTTTCTCCCTTAAGCTGACCTTAAGTGTTAATGCAGTATTTTCCCCCTAATTCTGTCCAAGAACAACTTCATGGTCGATAATACCTGTCTGCCGCCCATTATCTTGGAGGGAAGTCAGGTGACAGGCAGTGACTTGAAACAATGGCAATAAAAGCAGGACAGTGATGTGGGATCAACACATTTCATGCCAAAATCTTGGAGAGCCCTTCAGCTCAGCAGCGGGGAAAGACTGCAGTTCAGAAGAACAGCAGCCAATATAGGGGACAGTCTCTTGCATTAGATGAGTCAAGCCGAGGCCTTGGCATGAGCTCAGCCAGCTATCCAACTCCCAGTGCAGCTAGAAACAAACCAAGGTTGAACAAGACTGGAAGTTTTATCAAAAATAAACCTGAAGTTGTTCATTTGAACCATCCCTCAAAACCCATCTCAGGTTCTTGGGATTTTGCTTGCAGTCTGGGAGCACTGGACTCTCTGCCTTTCCAGTATTTTCAGTGTTCTCTATTCACATGTGAACCTATTCAGAACAGAGACATGTGTGTTCTTTAATTACCTGGAGTTAAATAAAGCACCAGTCAACAAAAACCACCTTGAACTTAGCTGCCCACCTGAATGCTGAAACAAAAGTCAGGCTTCAATGAGCGTGGGCAAGGTTGCAAGTTGTGCTTGTCATGAAGCAACTATGCACTCACTTTACCTCAAGTAGGTTAAACTATATGCGTGCGCAATCTCTATTTCCCTACCTTTAGGTTGGGAACTCAGTCCTCGTGATTTTTAAAAATCACCTAAACAAAAATATAAATCATACTGAATGAACAGTCTCTAAGCAACAGCAAGAACAGGAAAATATTCAAAAGACATCTAGTAATTTCAGATGAAGGTCTCTGTTAAGGAAACCCAATGTAAGTATGATTGCTCTTCACACAAATGACTAATGCAGCTTGTTCCATTTTCTATGACTGTACTGGCTGGGGATTATTGGAGCAGGAGGACATCAGATTGGTGAAGGCTGAACTAGTATCTAAGACAGAATTGCTATGATACCATTGATTATGATTAAACACAGAATGTGCTGCAAACTGTACAATAATCAAAGCCTAATAATCAAATAAACAAATAGTCAAATCCTTCACATAATTGAAATGTTTGTTCCATCAATGATATACAGATCAATCCTGTTTAGAATTATTCCATTAAGTTCAGAGAGTAGAGAGTTTACACACAGACTGCAAGTGGACAGCATTACCAGTTTTTCCCCCTACAGTCACTGTTTACTTAAGGGGAAAAAAGCAAATATTATGATTGTTATTGATAATATGAAACCTAAAACCTGATCTGATCTTCCCACTCAACAGAAGTTGGGAGGAAACTATGCTTTTATGAAAAGCACAGCCCCCCTGCTCAGATTTACTACACTTCAGCCATGTAGCCAGTCGGTTGTAACTGCCTGTACCTACTCTAATGCAAGGTAGTGATTGGCAGAATCCGCGCCCTCTTTTCCCCTCCCGCCCAGCATTCTCTACTGGAGGCAAAACAGTTGCCCTCTGAAGGTGGAATGGGGTTCAGGGTCGCAACCTCTCCCTCCAGTTGAAATTAGCTTTCCTGCTGTTGTTCCTACGCACCTGCACTTTTGAAAATACATGGGACTTACTCCCAAAAAACATGCACAGATTCACACTGTCTTTATATTTCAAGGAATGCAACTGGTGGGGCAGTGGAACAACCCAGTTCAAATTCATCAGATGGGGAGGGGCAGAATATTTTAAAATGACTCTCCACTACAGATCACTCTCTGTGATCCAGTATATGTTTGAATTCAATAAATCACACAGTACAGAAAACTTATTCAAACTACACGATACATTGAGAGGCAGTTTCTGGGCAGATGATCTGGGTATTCTATCCGTTCTTTCTGCTCCCTCTCTCACATTCTCTGCCAACAGGACAAAAAATTGTTGCGTAAAGATCTGCCTTTTAAACTTTTGCTTGCCCGTAGGAGCCCAGCAAGTCATCAGCCTTCAAAGGACTCTCTTCCATGGACACTAGTCCATGTGGGAGCTCTTCTACCAAAACAGTAGGGAAATGATTATTTTCACTTGGACTGAGTTTAGCTTGCCTCAGTAGCCAGCTGACAACAAGACGGAGGCTCCATTGTGAGGATGTGTCTCAGCAAACAATTAGTGGGTCGTCTTCACACTATGGCAGCCAGAACATTGATGAGCCACTCTAAAGTTTTATCTGCTGTATGCCCATATTTATACATTTGTTTAAAAATAGTTTTCCAAAATTTGATGAAGGGTGGCATACAATATTTTGAATGAATAATAAATATGTTACTTCCCCAAGTAACAGACACAGGTAGTGAATGCCAATGGCTGGCATACAACCAAAATGGGCACAAAAATTAGGAGCATTAGCATTCTAGGAGGAAACCTGGAAATTGTGAGGAGATCCTAATGCATTCCAGTTAAAACTAACTCAGTACCCATGAAATACTGATCATCAGCTGAGGCAAAAGAAGGGAAGTAAGAGTATGAAATAGCGGAGAGAACACTGGAGGAGGAAAATAACTAGCTGGCTGGAGCTCTGAACAGGACCAGCATTGACTAAGAGGTGGTTGCCAGTCACACTTGTCCAAGTAGGACAGCCTTACCAAACTGGGTCATCTTCAGAAGTGCTGGGTTTCAAGTCCTATCGTTCCCAGCCCCCACGGCCAACACATCTGAGAGGGATTAGATCTGAGGAAATGGTCTATATGGTGCCACCAAAGGCTCGGGTATACAGGAGGGCAACAAATTCTAAGCCAACGGAGGTGGGGTGGGTATTTGCAGCTGTATCTGAAATAAAAGAGGGTCCAGAGGAGCAAGGAGTCATCCGGGGTCTTTTTACTCTCCGCTGCTCAGGCCTGCTTTTGCTTGGCAAGGCACTCTGATCCAGCAGAGTTTGCAGGCGGAGAAGCTGCTACCTGCGCCTAATAAATAATGGATCATGGCAGCTTCTGAACGCGGGGGAGAAGCGGCGCAATCCAAGCAGAGGGGGCCGGGGAACCTCTACAGCCCGCAGATGTGGCTGGGGGAGCAGGGGAAAGACTACGACAAGCTGGGGCTCCTGAGAGATGGGAAAGCTCGGCCCGGAAGGGCATCCCAAAGCCAGAGGGCGAGTCGTCGCTCGAGGTCCCGCGGTCAGACGGTCTGCCCCTTTGCCCAGAGAAGCACTGCAGTCGCTAAACGGGTTTTAGGGAAGTTTGGAGGATTGCCCCCTCCCCCCGCCAGTCCTAGGCTGGTTTCCTTAGAGAAGGGACTGGTGGGATGCAGGATCCTATGGTAGCGTTCCTCAACCTTGGCAGCTTGAAGATGTGTGGACTTCAATTCCCAGAATTCCCCAGCCATCTGTTCGGGCTTCTGCGGGTTGCTGGCTGGGGAATTTTGGGAATTGAAGTCCACACATCTTCACGCCGCCAAGGTTGAGCAACGCTGCCCTACGGCGATGGCTAACACGCGAGGCTGGCGATACCTGAGGAGGGGGATCCCGCTACCAACGGGCTCCTCCTTCCCATCGCCGCCCCCGGGGAGCGGGGAAGCAGAACCAGCGCCTGCAAACGCCTCGTTAGCCGCCGCCGCCACACCGCCCCCGCACCGGCGGCTGAATCGGAGGGTTTCCCTTCCGTGACAGGGATTCCTCAGCCCTACGCAGAGGGGGCGGTGTGCTGCGCTGGCTCCGCGGTTCTCTGCAGCACTAGCCTCCCTCCTTCCAGCGGAGGAGCCTTTCTCGCTCGGAGATGCGAGCCGAGTCTCCCAGGACTGCGGGGGAAGCACTTGCAGAGGCGGCTGCGCGCAGGCTCAGTGAGATCTCACTGCGTCTCAGGTTCTGGCTTGGGCCGAAGCCAAGGAGGACGACGGGCG